TCATGTGGAATTTATTTTCCATTTTAGGCCTACTCATAACTTTGATAGATTACATATATTGGATCATTCTTTCATAAACATTATTCTTAAAATTTGGATCCACCAGTTGCTGATCAAACTTAAGCAAGGAAAGAAAAAAGAACAATATCTATACAAGTGTTATTTAAAACAAAGAAAACATAGTCTGGGGTAAACATACTCTTAAACACCATGCTGGCATGTCTCTAGCATGGGATAACTTTACCTTTATAAATCTCAAGTTAAGCAATCTCCATTTTCTTTGAAAACCTCTAAAACATATTATATGACCACTCTTTATTAGAGCTAATTAGAAGCTGTCAAGTGAGATCAATTTTTCATTAGATGATCATTGATATTATGCATCATGTTTAGTGTAAAGCAAACTTAAAAAGATTTATACTACACATTTTGTATGATGCGACAGTGTGATATTATTCCACTGTCAATCTTCTGAAAAGCATTTGTTCTATATTATTTCTTTTGAAACAAGAGAATCAAATGTAACTTCAAAGGTTAGATATGAACATTGGATGCTATGTTCTGTTTTGAATAGCAAGTAAATTGAAGATGTTATAAATATTGAACACAGAACTTGTGCTCATAATGTGCTAACTTGGAGTATGCAAATGCTTCTTTTAATAGCTGCTGGGCACTTGTGGTGTCACTGATGAAACAGTAGAATCAAATGGGAAAACACTTAAGTGCAATGAATTATAGGGCCTGATAAATTGTATGAATATTAATACATGTAAAACCTTCAAACATAATCGCTTTAAAAAAATGATTAGTGAAAATTGCAGAAATTTTATTGTGAGATTGCTAGGTATTTAAAAATAAAAATAATGAGTAGGCTAAAAAGAATTTTGTATCATTAAATTTCGACTAATCATTGTTATAACAAAAAAATGGTAAAGGACATTGTAGCTTTTAAAATTATTTACAAAAAAATACACCAAAAAAACAATCAAAATTCTTATTCTTTTTATTTAAATGTATGTTTTAGTGAAACAAAAACTTTTCCCTTCCTTCTACTGTTATATTTAGTGTACAGATGGTATTTATTATTGACATAAAGTAATTCTTAATAAGCCATTCTAGCAATGAAGTCTATCAAGGATCATTCTAAAATGTTCTCACATTGCTTATGACAACTTATTTACTTATTTAGAGTATTAGTTTTGAATAGCATTTATATTAAAATATGGAACAATCACATTTGATCAAAATTAATAAATTCTTTTTAGCTTATCTTGTGTATGGGCAGTGTGATCTGAGATATTTATAAGTTAAACAAAAGTTTATTATAAGTGACATTTCTTTAAATTTTACATTCTGAGAAGGTATTTAAAATTTGATATCTTCTCTTTCATTCCTTTCTACTTTTTTAATGCATGAAATGATTTTTAATAGTTTCAATCAATATGGAAACCATCTACAGAATACACGTTTTTAATAATTGTTTTTTAATGTCAGATATCTAAAAGCTAAATCAATATTCTTATACATAAAATTTCTTTTCCACTAAAGACAATTTCAATCTAACAATTTTGTTTAGAGCAACGTTATTAAAGATAAACAATTTTTATATGGACAAAATTTTTACTTTTTATAAAGTTACGTTAATAAGTCTATTGACTTTCAATCTTATGGACTGTAACATAGCAGGTGGCATGCATAATATTTGGAATTAAAAAATGAATTAAACAAATTAGCAACACTGCATTTTTAAAATTAAAAAAATATCCCAAACAAAGGCTTCAAGATTAAAGATTATGTTTTAGACTTGTTTTTAATAATTTTAAATCATTTGTACATTAATTATATCTGTGTATTGAATCTAGAATCATGGGCAACATCTTGAAAGTAGATGTTAAGCACACAATAGTATATAATTTATATCTATATATTTTCTTTGGTGATCATTCCTTCTCTTTCTCTCGCTCTCTCTTTCTGTCTATCTCCCTGTTTCTCTCTTTTTCTCTTATTTTATCTCTGATTCAAGCAAGGCATTTTTCTTTATACAAAAGGAAAACTAACCCTAAAATATATTACAATTTGAAACCTACATTGTGATTATTTCAATTTATTTTAACTGCATACCTACTCCAAACATTTGACTTCAAATATTTGAATATACAAATATCTATTCAAAACATCATGCAAATATATAACATTAACATTGAGATACATTAACGCAAAAAAAAAGAAGTATTTATTTAAACTACATTTGTGCATACATATTATCAATATAATATATATTTCTTCATATAATTTTTGTTGTTGTTGTTAGAATGTAATATATTTATGCATGTAAGGTTTATATTACAATCCATGTACACTTTGAAACATGCTAACAACAAAATTAATAATCGTGTGTTTTTTTAAAACAAATTATCACCAACAGAATGAACAATTTTATTTAACATTAATAGAAATGCTATCTGGTTAAAAATTCTGATTATAAACTGGAAGTTGCTTTTTAAAAATGTTTCATTCAAATTTAATTAACCTGGTGGTATCTGAAATTGTCACTTTTAAACAGAAAAATTCAAAACTACTGACACTGAAACTATACTGAAATAAATGGTATAAAATTGCATTAATACCAGAGAAAACTGTCTACAACTAACTTGTGTTATTTTGTTTATACATGTATATATATATATATATATATATATATATATAAATACATCGAGCCTTTGGGGATGAAGCGTGATTTTCAAATAAACTTTATTATTATTAATATTATATATATATATATAAAATGTACAGCTCATTGATATCGCAATAATAACTTGATCTACTTGTATAGCCCAATTAAGTTCAAATAGGTCATTATCATTTATGTAATAATTTGTCAAACATTATTTTTTAAAAACATAAAATATTGTTTATTGTAATATTTAAAAATTGAATATAAAAACAAGAAATTATGATCATTGAACCATGTCAAGATATTTTTCGGCTGTTTATTTTAGGGGTGGATGTGGGGAGGGGGATTTGAACAACTAACTAAAGGAATATGAAATTTTTCAATGCTTCACTCAGAACAAGAAATTTCCAAATTTAATTAAGTTTGCAGACCCCACAGTCTTCTTGTGAAGGAAGCTAATAGGTTTTATGTTTAAGGTAGATTTTAAATTCTTGGCTTTGAAGTAAGATCAAGAGTGCTAGGAGAAAGCTTAAAAGCTTTGCTTGATTTGAATAAATATTTCTTTGAAAATCATTTAATGACCAACTTAAACTGCCTCATAAAATACAAATATATGCACCATTTTGTACTTTTGATAATCAGGCCTCTTTTCATTGATTATAACGTGGAAGGAGTGGGGTGTAAAAAATAATAAAAATATGCCCCAAATATGGATCAAGATTGATTGGCTTTCTTTCTTTCCTCTATTCAAAAACAATAACCTAATTTCATGCAAAACTCTTATTGCTTGTAAACAAAATACTGTATTCCTTTAATTCCTAAATTTATATAAAATTATTGGTATCATATTTAATGGCATAAAATACATGGGTTGGAAGGGATTATCAACCATCTCCACAGCATTCACAAAAAGTAAAATGAAATAAAAAATTAAAGAAACTGTAATATGTTAACCCATCTGGACTATTTTTAAATAATTATAGTCAGTTTTCTCTGATGAATAAATAAACTAAAGCATTGTAAAGATAAAATCAAACCAAATTCAGTTCATGAAAGAAACAATAAAATAACAAAAAAGATGATCAGTGGTTGTATAGGGATATTACATATGAGCATAAAATATCAGTGCATGACAGAAGGTAATAAACTCAGCTAGTAAAGTATGAAAGATTCAGAGAAATTTTACAAAAAATTTAAAATGTATATAGGGAAACAAAACCCATCAGCTACATTATCATAAAAATATATACATATGAGAAACAAAGCCTTATGTTTATCTAAGGGAAATATACTTTTAAAAAATGTTTAAAATAGGTCATAGGTCATTTGAGGGTCACATAAGGATACAAAAAATTATTCAATTGCTTAAATAAGATAGATAAACCATACATATATATATATATATATATATATATATATATATATATATATATATATATATATATATATATATAAACATATATATAAAAGAGAAATAATTTTCGGAGACAAAAATTAATTTGAATCATTGTTAAAATATAATGAACCGAGGTAGAAGATAAACTGGCCACTGTGTAAATTTTTTGTTATTAAATTTTAATTTATGAAATTAGCATTCCGTGGCAGACTTAGTTAAGAAACAGATTTCATTTTAATATGTACTTTTTGTTGTTGTTGTTTCTTTTTTTGAAGCATTAATCTCAAGAACATGATTCTCCCCGCCCAAACCAAAGGACCAATGCGCTTTTTATAAATGTAACCATCACACAATCTATCTGAGAATTTCATTTTTCTTTATCAAGCGTTGTGCCTAGGAATTATAGTTATAGTTGCTGAAATGTTGGCTTATTAACGTAATTTATTAATTTATATTTATTTAATGCCTTGATAAAGAATTTAAAAAAAACAACAACTCAAAAACGATGAGTGATTTAAAAAAAATACACAAAATATACTAAATGGAAGTAGCATCATTCACCCTCTAAGACCCGTGAACAATGAGGCATTGATATAATTGTTTCGTTAATCAACAAGCATTTTTTTTTTTTAATTTAACAAGCAAGCAATCAAAATTCAGGTCTCTGCTGAAGCTAAAGTCTAAAGTAAGGAAGCAAATCCATTGCGCATTGGCATTGGGGCAGACAGCACGTTTTAACACTAAAGAACAAACTTTAACCTTACTCAATAACATCAAATAGAAGTACCATTATTTTTGTGTGACTAGATGCGGAAAGAATAAATCTAATCAGCAACTTGTGTTAAAAAGAAGATGAGAAAAAAACAAAAAAAAAACATGTGCATTTTAACAATACATTTCAATACATATCATAGACATAAACTAGAAATATTAAATAGAAGCCCGTTTCTTTCCTAGATTCTGCCACTGCATGAACGAGGCACTATCATCGGTACAACTATGGCTGTCTTCTTTCGTGGAAGTGGCTTGCATTGGCAGTAAATGAGAGATCTTCCCCGGCGCCCGAGTCACCGAGTACCGGGGCTTCCCCTTCGATCTGAGGTTGTAGCAGGAACACGAACAAACCGAAATAAGGTCATTATACTCCGGGGTCTCCTGGGCGCCCGAGACGACGCTCCCGTTCGCCGTTATGACGTCCCCGTCCAACCTCACGGCGCCCCTTGCGGCGGCGGCTGCCTCCATCTCCTCCCTCTTTTCGTCCACAGTGTTCATAGTGAGGAATCGAAGGATCAGTAGGTTCATGGCTGCAGAGATCACAGTCAGGCCGAATAGTATAAATATGAGGCAGAATGTCACGTACTGCGGCTGCTTTCCGAGCATGTCGTCCTTCTGCAACGCCACGAAATCGCCGAAGCCGATCGTGGTGAGGGTGATGAAGCAGTAGTAGAAGGAGTCTATGTACGGCCAGTCCTCGAAGTAGGAGAATATGGCCGCCCCCGACGTGAGGACGATGGTGGACAGGTTCATGGCGATGAAGATGAGGTGGGTCTGCGACACCTCCGTGTTCTTCATCCTGAAGCACTTCCGGATGTGCTTGACCAGGAAGGTGACGAACGTGTTGAGGCGCTCGCCCACGCTCTGGAACATGACGATGCAGAGCGGTATGCCGGACAGAGCGTAGAACATGCAAAAGATCTTCCCACCAACGGTCTGCGGCGTGCTGTGCCCGTAACCTGGTGAGAAGATACATCTTTTTTTTAGAAGTGAATTTTTTTTTCTGATTATTGACTATCATCTGACATTATTTATACACTGTGGTAACGCGTAGTTTCAAATAAACCAAATAAAAAAAAAAAAAAAAAAAAAAAAAAAAAAAAAAAACATTTCCGGTTTCAACCAACTTCCGGCATAAATTTTAGAAAATTAAGTACAAACCCTTAAGTACGAAATTTAAAAGTTATCATTTTTTTAATAGAAAAAATGTGTTATCTAACCAAATTTATACAAATCAAATACATAACTAGGATACTGTATTGATTTATTTTTTATTTTTTTTTAGCAAAAGGGCATACTGTAAATACAACACCACGAAATCCGTTTATTGATGAAGTTTGAGTGAACGAGCGACACACGAATCTTTTTCTTGCAGCAAAATAAAGATAGGAAAAAAATAACCCGTTAAAAAGAGTCTTGCCCGGGGCGTACCCCCCAACCCCCACCATCTCCTCCCCTTTCCCTTTACGCCCCTTCCTCCACTCTCTCTTTCTCTCTCTCCCCCTTCCCCTCTCTCTCTCTCTCTGTCTCTCTCTCTCTCTCTCTGTCTCTCTCTCTGTCTCTATCTCTCTCTCTCTCTCTCTCTCTCTCTGTCTCTCTGTCTCTCTCTCTCTCTCTCTCTCTCTCTCTCTCTCTCTCTCTCTCTCTCTCTCTCTCTCTCTCTCTCTCTCTCTCTCTCTCTCTCTCTCTCTCTCTCTCTCTCTCTGTCTCTCTGTCTCTCTCTCTCTCTGTCTCTCTCTCTCTCTCTCTCTCTCTCTCTCACACACACTGGCCTGCCAATCATGAGTCATCAACATCGAATAAGGGTGTCGCAATGGCTCGTCGCCAACCCTTGCCTCACCGTATCTAAAGATACCGACCAATATGTAGTCAATTCTGGGGCCAATGATGAGCCCTACTTAACAGGTCGCAGAGCATCATCACATCAATTGTCATAGGCGTGTCTGTAGACATTTGCTGATTTTTGAATAGGAAATTTGAGGGAGGATGATCGAGTTTTAAAAAAAAAAAAATTCTTTTAAAGATAGGATACATATATGTATATGTATTATTTGTGTAAATTTTATGCATACATATGTGATTGTTTTTTGTTGTACCGAAGAAGGCATTTGCCGAAACGTTTGCATTTGTATTCTGTGTGACCGTAATTCAAACGTAACATTTTATGTTTTATTTACACACTATTGTTTGTGCTGTGTCCAAAAATGAATCTGCATTTAACTTCCCTGGTTCCGCGAGGCATGTTGGCACGGTCTCACTTCCCGGACTCCGTGAGGCAGGTTGGAGAGGTCTCATTTCCCGGATTCCGTGAGGCAGAACGGCAAAGTCTCACTTCCCGGATTCCTTGAGGCAGGTTTGCAAAGTCTCACTTCCCGGATTCCGTGAGGCAGTTTGGAAAGGTCTCCCTTCCTGGATTCCGTGAGGCAGGTTGACAAGGTATCACTTCCCTAATTCCGTGAGGCAAATTGACAAGGTCTCACAATCTCGTCTGTGACTTTCCGATGTCTTACTTAACACTAATTTAAAAAAAAAAAATCCCCCTTCCCGACCTTCTCTCACCCCACCACTACACAACAGTAGGCCTACGCGCATGTAACGGCATAGCTTTAAACTCATTTGACTACTAAAAAAAAAAGCACACTAGAGGCATAAGCACCAATGCGGCCAACCCACACACAACTCGCACATTTATCACCAACACCCATTTTGATCGCCCAAAAGATGAGATCCCCGTTGTGTCCGGAAAGTTTAAGGGCATGACTGCCCTCGGGTGGACGGGACCAAATTAGCCGAAGACATCCTATTACCTGCCAGTATTACACAACTGTGACGAAACCCATTGCGTAACCGCTTATAGGGGGACTTGACCTTTATCGTCTTATTTTTAAATGAACTTTTTGGTTTAGGTGATAAATATACCCCCCCCCCCCCCCTTTTTTTCAATCTCTTTGACTTCAGATTCAATATACGTATATATAGTAAAAAAATAATATGTATCAAGATACTGGGTTAAAGACTTAGACGTATTTCGAAGATGTAAATTGTTTGTTTTTAAAAAAAAAGCTATTCCAAATGTTTGTAAGTACATCATAGTGTGTGTGTGTGTGTGTGTGACGAGACACAATTTCCACTTTCAGATTCATTGGCGTGTGTCTGATCTTCTAAAGGAGACAAGTGTTGCCCCTTGTTTTGCGCGTGACTGACCATCGGTCCATAAGTAGATGATGAGTTGGTCAGGGAGAGAGAGAGAGAGAGAGAGAGAGAGTCCATCTTTCATCAGTGTAGGACATTTACTATTGGATGAGATCGTCCACCCCCACCCCCCTCCCACTTTTTTTTTCTCCGAAATTCACCTTCCTAGACATTCTCCTTCCGGGCCATCTCATATCCCATCAGATTACCTTTAATCCAAACCAACATTTTTCCTATAGCCTTAATTTCTATTGGTTTCCTTATTTCTGGATATGGAAAAATCTATAGATCAATGCCAAAATAACACTACAAAAACAAACAAGAAGAAAAAAAAAACAGCATAGAACTTCTAGAAAAGGATTTCCCCGCAACACCCCCCCCCTTTTTTTTTTGAGGGGGGTGGGGGGAAGGGTATGTGATGACCAAAGCCCTACTCCGTTAACATCATGATGACCAAAGCCCTACTCCGTTAACACCATGATGACCAAAGCCCTACTCCGTTAATATCATGATGACCAAAGCCCTACTCCGTTAACACCATGATGACCAAAGCCCTACTCCGTTAACACCATGATGACCAAAGCCCTACTCCGTTAACACCATGATGACCAAAGCCCTACTCCGTTAACACCATGATGACCAAAGCCCTACTCCGTTAACATCATGATGACCAAAGCCCTACTCCGTTAACACCATGGATATGTGCGCCGCATTCTTTTATTTTTTACTCTCTTTTAACCGGACAACAACTAGGGTTTTCCTTTCTTTTTTGTTTGCCGTTCTTTCCTCTCCTTTCTTTCTCATTTTCTTCAGTGACTTGTCTGTAACAGTTCAATGTCTCCCACGACCCTTTGAAATCTACGTGGGTGATTGGATACACATCTTGAATTCAGGTCCGCAGCGTGCCACCAAACGGGCGTGCGAACTTAAGTCACACACGTGCAAATGAAAATTGATTACATTCCTTTACTGTTTTTTTTTTTTTTAAATTTTTAAATATCAGCAAGAAATGATTATTTACAGCAAAATAGAGCATAGTATTACAGTAACTATTTGTTAAACGTCATTGCTTTTTTTTTGGTTTTATTTCGTTTTTTCGTGCAGTGCAGTTTCACGACTTTCGCCTCAGAATAAATCTTTTCAAAACTAAACGAGTGAGAAGTTACAAGTTTTGACTGACTATTTGAAACATTTTATAATAATTTCGGAATCTAACTCAAAAAGTTTATAAACATCGGCATAATATATTATAGAATTGTCTATCTTAAGGAGCAGTCCCCTGAGAAAGAAATATCCTTAAACAATACTTTCTGTTATACTATTTTATTTGTACTATCCCGCCAGGCCCCAACAAATATTTTATGATTTGTAACTTGTGAAAGATTGAACAAAGAAGAAAAAAATGCCAGCTCCTAAAGAAAAAACAAAACAAAATGGAAGCCCTGAATCCAATAATATGATGCATGATCATAAGTTTGGAGATTAAAACCTTCCATGGGGCGAATATTCCCCAAAGCGTCGAAGAGAAGGAAATGTTGCACAAGATGAGAGGCGCAGCTAGAGTGTTTGGCGCCCGGAGACAAGATTCGCACCCGGGGACAAGATTCATCTTAAAGCGCCCCCTTTTTCCTTTTTTCAACTCTCAAACCCATTATTGTAATCTATAAAATAACATCAAAGCACATTTTGGCGCCCCTAACTTGCTGGCGCCCGGGGACATCTGCCTCTAACAGCACACATGTCCAGTATCAGTCCCTCTAACAGCACACATGTCCAGTATCAGTTCCTCTAACAGCACACATGTCCAGTATCAGTCCCTCTAACAGCACACATGTCCAGTATCAGTCCCTCTAACTGCACACATGCCAGTATCAGTCCCTCTAATAGCACACATGCCAGTATCAGTCCCTCTAACAGCACATATGCCCAATATCAGTCCCTCTTAACAGCACACATGCCAGTATCAGTCCCTCTAACATCAGTCAACTTAGGGAAATGTTTGTTAACTGATACCGATGGTCACCGTGATTGTCCGTGACAATCGAGACGCCACTTCCACTTCCAGATCAGTTTTTTGTGTATCTGATCGTATCAAGGAGACGAAGGCTGTCCGTGTTTTGCGCGTGTATGACCCATCGCTCCGTAAATAGATGATGAGCTGGACAGGGAGAGAGTGTCCATATTACATCTTACTATTATAATATGAGACCGCCCCTCTCTCTCTCTCTGAATTTCACAGTCCAGGACATTTACGATTGGATGAGATCGTGCCTCTCTCCGAAGTTCATCTTCCTGCGAAACGTTCCTCTTCCCCGGCTGTGTCAGCAAGCCACCCTTTAAACTAAGCCAGTGTCTCTTCACCTATATTAAAACTTTTATTAGACCTCACGTGATCGTCCATTTATTTGTTGGTCACCCATTAATTTGTCCGATTCTTCTTATATCTAATGCAGTGCTTCTTAACCTTTCTGGAGTTACCGAACCCCACCAGTTTCATATGCGCATTTACCGAACTCTTCTTAATAAGAAAAAATAAAATACGATTTTTTTTCTGATTTTTTTTTTTTTTTTGGACCTCCGCCGAACCCCTGAGACTGACTCGCCGAACCCCTGGGGTTCGATTGAACCCAGGTTAAGAACCGCTGATCTAATGTGTCTCAATGTTCCATGCAACACGACGCGATGACAGTCAGAGCACACTAGAATACAAGCGAGAAATCCGAATCTTTCGAATTTTACTTTTCCCCCTTATGGCATATATATATATA